AAATTTGATGAAGGAGGTGGGCATTTTTTGATATACATTTTTTCTGGCTCCCTCTTTTTTTTTCTCTCCTTTCTTGAATAAATCTTTCTATCTATCTTTCCTTCTCCCAGCTGTTTTTTTGTCCCTTTTCTTTTGGGCAGTTCAGATTATGGGAATGTTTGGATCAAATATACAATATACATAATACATACGCATACATATACATAAATACAAAACTCAACATTCCCACCTTCCTGAGAAACCGCCCTAGTTCGGACTTTGAATTAAACCCCAAACCCTTCCTCATTTCATGACTTCCATTCTATTTCTCTCCTTTCCAACCTTTCAAAACCGCTGGAATGCCTCTTCCAAAATCAACTTTCAAATTTCCTAGAGGAACATTCCCTAATCAACCCTCACCAATCTGATTTTCGTTCTGGCTACTCAACGAAATCTGCCATCTCCAAAATAACCCATGAAATCCAAAATTCCATTAAACACCAAAAGCTTACTATTCTAATCCTCCTATATTTTTCCAAAGCATTTGACTCAGTTGACCACAACATCCTCCTTTCTAAACTTCACAATCTTCCTCTATCCAACAGTTTCCTGTGTTGTTTCAAATCCTTCCTTTCAGATCGATCCCGGTATGTAGTCTTCCTAGATTAACCTCCTTCTAAGACACTTCCCCTCTCCTGTGGTGTCCCTCAGGGTTGCTCTTTATCTCCTATTCTGTTTGCTATTTACATTAATGACTTTCCCCTCCTGATCTGTCACTCCGAATACCACATCTATGCCGATGATTTCCAAATATACATGCCCTTCTCCCCTTCTGACCAATTAACTGCCACAAAAAAACTTCAAGAGGACCTGAATAAAATTTGTTACTGGGTAGAAACTAACAAGTTAAAGTTGAATGCTTTGAAGACCAAGGCAATTTTGATAGGCTCTAATCACCTTCTTAAAACTGTTTCTAAAATCCCAACTCTGTTCCTACATGAAAATCCCATCAAATTTAATCCCACTGTTAAGAACCTTGGAATAACCTTTGATAAAACCCTGGAAATACCATTTATCCAATATCTCCCATTGTTCCTTTTACATTTTAAACGTCTGAATTACCTCCGTCACCTATTTCCATTTGAAATCCGTAAATTACTGTTTACTTCCTTAATATTTCCTCACTTTGACTATTGCGGTACAGTATATGGGGCATCTCTGGGGATCTTGAGGTGAAACTAAAACGTTTGATAAATTGCTTTGTACGATTCATCTGTGGTATCCCAAGAGACAACCCTGTCTCCTGTTTTTATGAAGATCTGAAGTAGCTTTATCCTTCCTACCATCGTAAATGCTTCCTAGCATCCTTCCTCTTCCAAGTCATCTGATCCTGCCATCCTTTATATATATCCGATATCCTTCAATTCAAATCCTCCGTCTACTCCCACAAAACCCATTCCCGGTCTTCAGATTTGTATACAAGGGTCCACCGAACCGCTGCTTTCGACAGATCTTTCATTAACCGATCCTCATTCCAATGAAATCCTATTCCTCCCTGCATCCCTCGCTCCAATACTACCTTTAAATCCCCCCTTTTCAATCACCTCTTATCCCTTCAGTCCCCATAAAATTGTAAATAGATGTTGTAAATATGTATATAAATTATTACTAGTTGGTTTATTTCACTTTTTTTGTTAATTGATAAAGTTAGAAGATACCTTATAATTTTTTTTTGTTTTTGTTTTTTGTGATTATTCTCTGAGGCTACAAAGCCCAAATTTCCATCAGTGTATATTATTCAAAAGGGACCTGTTCCAGAATAAATAAAGTATTATTATTATTTTCGAATTTCGCACTTTCTTTGCTTTTGCCAGAAATATTCATCTACCCGGACCAAGATCAAGGGTTAGGCTCAAAAGTTAAACTATGTTTAAGAACTTTCTAACGATGTTTACTGTGCCCAGGAAAACTGCTTTTTGCCCTTCTTCCAACACTTTCTCTGGCAGTTTCAATTTTTTGACAGAGCAAATGGTATCGTCTGGCATGAGGCCATTACTGGAAATTCCATTTGGATATACCTGTACTTGATTGAGTCTGTAAAGTTGTCGAAGTTAATGGCACAAATCTTGATATTTCCTAATCTTTTCAAAAATAGTCTTTCGATATTATTATTGGTAAGGACCGCTATATCAATGACATACCCACTTTGTGTCTTCCGATCAATTATACTATGTCCGGTTTGTTATTTAATACCTTGTGGTCTGTAATTATAGATCGATCCTAAATATTATTCTATTTTATTTTGACAGCACCTATTTGGGCTCATATCGATAATAAGGAACCTCGTCTGTTGGCATGTTATTTAATGAAGCCAAAGCTTGTATCCTTTCTTAAGGCATTTATTAGAGACCTTAAAGTTAATTCCTGATTGAGATAAAGCATTGTAAAAAGGACCATGTAGTGTTTTACTCTTCAATTTTTCGATCAAATTTTCTTCGGTAGGGACTTCTTTATGTTCCTTTGAAACTAAGTTTAAAGCTTTGTAGGCATTATCCAGTGATTTTATTGCTGACCATGCAGGGCGGTCCCTCCACGCCCAGTGGCATAATAAAAGGCCTCTGGCCACAGATGCAAAGAACGCATACAGCTTGCAGAGCCCTCTACCTTAAAATGCCCTTGGGCAATAAAAGAAAAGTTGAAAACTTATGTATATACACATTTATATACATACTGTATTTATTCAAGAAATTCCTGGGGGGTAGGAAAAAAAAGAAAAAAAAAAAAAAAAAAAAACTGACCATACAGGAGAGTTTCTTAGTTGTAAAGTGCACCTTACATTATTTTCTTGCTCTCTAGAGCTTCTTAATAAGCAGACAAGTCCCCTTCCTCCTTTTATCTGAGGCAAGTACATCCTCTCAATTGAAGATTTAGGATGTTGTTTCCTTGCTGAGATAAAAAGAACTCTCACCAAATGATTCATTTCCTCCAGCTCCGTATTAGACCATATTAGAACACCAAATGTATAAATCAACAAAGGAATAGCCCATGTATTTATTGCTTTAATTAAATTATTAGATGAGAGGCACATTTTGAATATTATTTTTAATCTTTTCTGGAATTCTTCTATATAATTCTTTTTATTACGTTTCTTGAATTTTAAAAGTTGACCGAAACCTAAATATTTATATTAATTAGAATTGTTTAATTATTTTATTGTTCCATTGGTAATCAGTTCCATGTCTTGTTTATTCATCACCTCAGCCCTTTTAACATGAATTATAGCACATTTATCTATTCCCAAAGTCATGCCTATATCATTGCTAAATGATTTAACTATTTCAATCTCTTCTTCACTCCTGGAATACAATTTTAAATCGTCCATGTATAGAACATGAGATAATCTGGTTCCATTTTTATCAATCCTGTAACCCTACCTGAATCATTTAATAATTCACTTAGTGGATTTAATGCTAGACAAAACAGTAATGGACATAAAGAGTCTCCTTGAAATATTCTTCTATTTACAGGTATACAAATATTGGAATGACTAAATTTAGGCAGATGTAATTTCACCTTCCAAGTCTTCATTAGATGTTCTAATAGCTCCACTATTTAAATGTCTATTTTGTACATGTTTAGTACTTCTATTAACAACTTGTGAGGAACTGAATTGTACGCCTTTTGGTAATCGATCCATGCAATAGAATGAATCCAAGATTCATTAAAATTGTTTAGTTTCGGAGCTTCCTATATTTCCCTTAGACCAAAAATCTTCTGTTTCTTTTTCATTGATATGTAACGTACCATGTTTGGGTTGGTGAATTAATGAGTTATAGAAGGTCTTCTGTTTTGATAGGAATATCCAATTCAGCCTCCATGTATCTTCTTAACTTATTAGCATGTAGAGCCAATTTCTGTTTATTATTGTCTGAATAAATATTCAATTTATCTATTAGTTCTGACTCTTGTACAGTTCCTAAATGGAGAACTACAATTTCATCCACTTTCCTCCTAAGTTTAAAGGTTGCTGCAGTGGGTTTTTTTAAATAATTTTCACTATTCAGATTTCTTTGTGAATAGCATAAATTTTATTTTTTTAGTCTTCTTTTCCAGGGTGGTAAATTTTTAATCATTTTGTGTTTCTTCCTTTCTTTTGGTGCTACTAAACATTCTTTCATTATCTCCAATTCGCTAGCCACTGATCTTGCTCCGACATATATCCAATGACGGATATCATTTATGTCTGAATAAGGCATTACGTATTCTAACAAAATCTTATCCACTGCTTGTACAGTATCTAATGTTTTTTTTTCCATATGGCACATTTGGAATTAATGTTCTAATAGAATACGTTCAAATTTCAAGTTTTCTGTCAGCAACAGCATTCTTATTCTATCAATATTATTTTGTCTATTTATATTTTCCCTATTAACTTCAATTTCTTGTTCATTAGTAGAAACCTAATTTCTTGCAGCTGCATTACTACTTCTTGAATAAGGTCAAGATTACTATTAATTTCTTTATTTACTTTAGTTAATTCGGTGTCCGAAAGAAACTTTTGTTCAAAGATTTGCTTGATTTGATCTGCCAGTCTTTGTCCGGTAGCGGACATCTCATTCCAATATCTTACAATATTGCTGCAATATTCTGTTTTATTTGTTTCTATATTTGTAGCCAAATAATAAGCAGGGATGACTGCTCTATTCATTTCTCGTGTCCATCTCAAATGTCAGTGCTCAGCTCTTTGGTGTTTAGGAGCTCTACTTCCTGCGGGAGGCACAACAGCTTCCAAGTTCAATATTCATTAATAACAATTATATTTTTATAAAATTATACAGTTTAAAATGTAAAATTTATATATTTAAATATATATATATATAAAAAAAAGAAAAAAAAAGAGAGAAATCATATGGTAACACAATAATATATATTCTAAGTTTTTTTAATAGAGGTAAAATTTAAATACCAAAAAATTCAAAATAAGAATATGTTATTAGCAAATAATATGCAAATGATCTTACATTGTTTCTCCAAATTTGGTTGGCTGCAATAGCATACGTGCCTTGATTTTCTTTCCATCCTCCCAAAGCTGGCCCTGGAAATTATAAAAAACAAATTTTGTTTTATTCGGGTAATACAACATAAATCCTATCAGAGTTTCTTAAGTGAAAAAAATTGTGAACATTAATAGGAAAAATTAATTAAAATGTTTTTTTTTTGTCTTTTTCTATGCCTAAGTAACGCCTGCTTCATCAGCCATGAATATGAATATTACAGTATTATATTACTCTATATACTACAAGAGTCTTCTTGCAGTGCAATATAATTTTGCTCTTCTAGCATAAGGGCTGTCCATTTCACTAAAGGAACATCTTATGTCCTGCAATGCAGGGCATGTATCAAGATGTTCTCCTGTCATCATATCCAAGGAACACAGAGGGCATGTCGGGCTATCTTTTATACCGATTCGGTGGAGGTGCTTCTGAAGGAAATCATGTCCTGTGAGCATTCTAAAGCATGCCACGGCTTGCCCTCTAGGGATCCTGCCATTATCTTGAAGCAATCCACTCCATCGCTTCCGTTCAATTGTTTGTGCATATTTCTCCTTCAGTGAACTTTGGAGGGTCTGTTTTATAATTCTTTTCATTGAATCCATGCCCAGAGGAATATCTGGTTGGATCATTCCAGAACCTATTCTGGCCAGTTTGTCAACTTCATCAAAGGCCTAGTATCCACTGGAAAGCGACTTCTGTCCCATTTTCGTTTAATCGGTTCAAATATAGATGGCATTTAAAGACATTTAGATTCATATTATATCCATTTTGGAGAGACAAAATGTGCTGCCTGTGAGTCAACAAAGAAAGCAACTTTCTTGTATTTCCGTTCAATTAATCTTTCAAGTCCTAAGAGAATGGCTTTCACTTCCTCTTCAAAGTTTGTGGCTACTTTTCCAACCAGGGTGGATTAAAATGTCACTTGATACTAAATTTGTTTGAATAAATCAGTGTAGGTGGAAGAGTGTTATCAAAGGTGAACAAATTTAGATATATCAAATTCCAAAATTGCCTTAAAAATGACAAGGAAATAACATAAACCAGCATAAATTATAGTTACAACAATAAATTCACCATATATAAATATACATGGTAGCTGTACACATCTCTATCCAGCGACCGCCACCCTAAACCAACCCCGCCAGATTAGCCTTTTTGCAATTTCCCACCTTTGCATCGGTCTATGCCTCGAATGTTCATCAATCACTGCATATTAACTTTTTAAGAATTCTTTCATTACTAAGCCCAACAATTGTACATGCCCATTTTATCAATTATATTAACCGGAAACAGTTCACCCAATTTGGCATTGTATAACTGTCTAAACTCTCTTGACTCATCCTTCTTTGGTTCAAATATTCTAAGCAATATTTTATTTTCAAAAACCTTAAGACATTGCTCATCCCTTAATGTGAGCAGTTACGTTTTGCATCCACAATGAAAAATAAGTAGGATAATGGTTTTATGAGTTCTAATTTCTAATTTTTGAGACAAGCTAAGTTGTTTTGCTACAAAAAATAACAAGCATTTCCTGCCTGAAACCTAACCTTAATCTCGTTAACCTAACCTTAATTTTCATTTTTTCTACTACTATAGATACTATAGTACTATAGATACTAGATACCTAAACTTCTCTATGTATTCAAATGTATTCCCTTCTATATCTATATCACTGAAATTTTGGCCATTTTTGCAGTTAATCATATATTTTGTATTTATTTCGATATACCATATATTTTGTATTTATTTTGATTCCCAGTTCTTTAACGACTTTCATAAACTATGTTATATTCAGTTTTATAGTTTCCGTGTCTTTGCTTGTGGTCATGGGTTCAGTATAGGTTCAGGGTATTAGGTTCAGTAATATTTAAGAAGAGTACTGATTCTTGGTCAAGGGTTGTGATTTGACTGAGATCACGCTCAACCGCCAGGGTTTTCCCCCTTAAATAATTGTTTAATTAAGGGTACCCACTTTATAGTGGCTGGATATGCCCCAGGAGGGTCTTCTGACCCCAGAGACGAACCATGGTTGATGAAACAGAATAAATAATAACAATAATAAAAGTTTGGATACATATGTTTAAAAGAATAAATAATTTATCTTCCATAAGCCGGGATTTGAACCTGGGAACTTACCAGAAAAATGGAAGCTCAGCTTCCTTACCATTGAGCTACTTCACCCCCACTGAGCTAGTCACTCCTGGGGCACATCCAGCCTCTATAAAGCGGATACTCTTAATTAAATAATTATTTTAGGGGAAAAACCTGGCGGTTGAGCATATACCTTATAACAGTACTTCCTCACATAGTAATGAAAATTAGGCCCATCATGGATTGTAGTGGTACAAGTGTCTTCGCTTATCAGTACCAAACCATCAGCATAACAAATCACAGATATTTTTCTAGCCAGATTCACACCTTTTTCGGTATGCATCACCACTCTAATGTTATGTTCTAATGCTAAATTAAACAGGACAATTGAAAGTGAATCATCTTGTTTTTAACCCATCAATTATAACCGATTCTAACTTTATTGAATGTTTCTGTCATGCACATCCTAACTAGATTTACTAATTTTTTTTTTTGGAATCCTTTGCTCAATAGAATCATAAGCCTTTTTCAAAATTATATAGAGCTAGTAAACAATACTGTTTTACTCTAATATTTCCTGTGAGCAAAAGATTTATTCAATAGTAGAATGGTTCCATCTAAATCCAAATTGGTATCCTCCGATAATTTCCTCGGCGTATTTCGTGGTAATGATAAATAACTAGTAATGATTAATGTGAGAAGAACTCAATGTGCATAGGAAGTATTGGAGCTGATGTTTCGGAGGAGTTCTGTGCAGATAATGGAGTGAGGCAGGGAGATGCACTCAAATGCCTACTCTTCAACCTAGCCGCAGAAGGAGCTGTCAGGAGATCAGGTATTCAGGTTGGTGGAACCTTGTTCAACAGACTAGTGCAGCTGCTGGGTTATGCTGATGACTTTGACATAATGGCCAGATCCAAACGAGCCCTAAGGGAAGTATTTCTCGCCCTCAAGAAAGCTGCAAAAAAAGCTGGATTAAGAGTAAATCAGCAAAAAACAAAGTATATGCAGGTTAGAGGGCTAGGAAACCACAAGGAATACTTTGAGGTAGCACAGTACAGATTCCAGGTGGTCAATAACTTCGTCTACTTGCGAAGCAGGATAAACTCCCAAAACAATATCTCCCAAGAAATTAAGCGTAGAATAATAACAACTAACAGATGCTACTACAGCTTATCCAAAAACTTCAGGAGCTGGTGTATTTCAAGGAAGAAAAAAATCAGCCTGTACAAAACTATAGTCCATCCAGTACTAATTTATGGATCGGAGGCATGAGCCATTAAGAAGGCAGATGCGAAATGGCTCTTGGTTTCGGAAGGGGAATATTGAGGAAGATATATGGACCCTTAAAGTAGGTGAGACATGAAGAAGATGAAAGAACCACGAATTGTACGGCCTCTTTGAAGATATCGAGATCTCCAAAGTCATAAAACTGGGAAGACTTCAATGGGCTGGTCATCTAGCCAGAATGGACAATGGTGAGATTCAAAAGAAAGTGGCCATAGAAGGGATGAGGAGAATGAGTGGATCGAATGTAAGGTGGATGGACGCTATGTTGGACTGAGGGGATGCTATGGTGTGACTGAGGATGCTAGGACTCTTCTAGGCATGCGGGACTCAAGGACTGCTGCACAGGATAAGGCCAACTGGTGGAGGCTACTTGAGACGGCCCGGACTCGGTGACGAGGTGTTGCGCCATTGTGTATAGAAATAGAAATAGAAAATAACTTTATTCTGGGACAAAGTTCCTTTAGAATAACAAAATAGTACAGAATTAAAAGACTACATCTGGCATAAATAAAACAATAACAAAAAAGAAAAAGTAAAATAAAAAAATGAATCTACATAAAAAACACTTAAAACTATTCTGTATGTGTATGTATGCTTAATGTGAATTTTATAATAGAAGGCGTAAGATTCTTCAATAGTTATTACTATCTGCTCCCTAGTCCTTTTTGTAAATTGGAATAAGAATAGATTCTTTTCATTCTTCTGGTGACTTCTCACACTCCCAGATCTTTTCAACCAAAAAAGGTATTTTAGGAACTCCAGCTTCTCCACATGCTTTAATTAGTTCACTAGGAACATTATTGGTTCCCGTTTCTATATAAGGTTTTAACTTTCCAAATAGTTATTTCAACTTCCTCTTTACTCAGTTATTCTATTAACGGTTCAGCTCTCTGGTAATCAGGAAGAAGACACAGATCATTATTTTCCATATTTAAAATATTGCCAAAGTGTTTCTTAAACTTACTTCATATATCTATCGGAATCGACAGCATATTGCTATTTTCATTACTAATTCTAGTCCTGTTACAGGTCCTGAACATTATGTGATTTGTTTATACCTTTGTACATTAGTAACACATGGTCAACAAGATCTTCAATTGAATCTTAAAATTCCATAAGTGAATTTCATATTACAGCACAACACGTATATCTACTGTAAGAACCAGTAAACAGAGATGAACCTTACCCTCGGTGTATGCGAGAGGAATACATTTTAGTGCACCATATATTTTCTTGCCCCATTTTCATGCACCTGAGAAAAAGTACCAACCTTATCTTGAAAGCCCTATATTTCTGAATCTGATAATATATGTCTCTTCTGCTTTCTTTATCTCCTTTGTGCCGCTGAGCTGCAGTCCCAGCCCATCTTGCCCACTGGTCTCTTCCCCTGGCTAGTCTTCTCATCTCCGGTATGGTGCGTCTTCTTGCTGTGCCCAGTTTTTCAATGTAATTGTGGTACATATGTCTAGGCCTGACATGAGGTCTTCTGCCTTCCGGTCTGGCTCCCATAAACCACCTGGCCCTTCGGGTGTCGTCCAATCTGGAGATGTGCCCGAACCATTTCAACTGCTTCTCTTCCAGGATGCCACGGATTGATGTCACCTTCAATTCCTCATGGATCCTGTCATTTCTGACACAGTTTCTCTTAGTTTTGTCAGCT